GAAAACCCCCCCTGCCATATTTTCCTCCAAAAACCAGAGTGACTAGGGCACTTACATGAGACACTGGAGGCTCTGCGCTATGTACCTCTCTAATCCAAAAAGATTTTGAACTTGGGTGGGATCTTTCTGACTTTTTGATCCAGCTCTTAAATGTTTATGCCACAGCTCAACCATACGCCCACATCCTTTTTCCAGCAAGCCTTTTCAAGGTAGAATGCTGGACAGGCATGAGAGGGATGGATGTGGGAGATATATGGAGTCAAGAGACAAGGAACAAAGCAGGAAAGTGTGTTGTTCAATTAGGTGGTTGCTATGCTGAAAAGGAGAGGAGTCTGGGTTCTAGTCTTGACAAAAAGTTGTGTACTGCACTGTAGGGCTTGTGAAACAGCACCATTCTGTTTCAGCTTCCGTTTCGACAGAACAGTGTTTTGTTTCGAGTTTCATTTTGTTTCAAAACTGCTGTTCCGTTTCATTTTGTTGAAACAGTTTTGGTGTTTTGATGCTGTTTCGACGTTTCCCCCATAGGCTATAATGGGGAAGCACAAAACTACCAAAAAATTGTCATTTCTTGCCTGATTCAGATGAAACTTGTAGAGATGGTAGCCCCTTTTGAGGCCATGAAGCCTGGCAAGCTTCAAGGAGATAGGTGCAGGGGGTTCTGGCAAACTGCACCTCAAATTTTGAAAGCAAAACTCGTGCCACTTGGAAGTGTGAAGGCACATGGGGGTGAAAACTGTAGGTATGGTAGGTTTGTAAATGGTTTGTAAGTTCAAACAAGCACCAAACCTTGCTAACCTAACCTCCTCACCAGAAGACAACTTCCTACAGCTCGAAACACAAAACCTGTCGACAATTTTCAGTCCCTCCACAAACTGCACACCAGAATCTATCAAAGACACCAATATCCAAGTACTTGTGGGGGCACATGTCTCATAAAAAAAATCACCCTGTCTCCAGTCCTGAAAGGGACTTTACAAACCACTTTTCACAGCCAGGCCTATGAACTTCACTTCATCAGCCTCCTAGGTAGTAGGTACAGAAACTCATTGACTCAATAGAAACAGTGGAATTCTGACACACTGCGACCTACTGGACATCTCACGCCCCAGGTAGCTCTCCACCTTTATATGCACTACTACATCCCTGTTCCCCTGGCACCCCAGCCTGTCCTTCACACCCTGAGGCCTCCATTTCCATTTTCACTGACTGTCTCTGGCTTCTTTACTATTCTTTCCATCCAGGAACAGGATACATACCAACTGCACGTGCTTCTTTAGCCTGACAAACAGTTTTTCAACCCAAAAGCTGGCATCTCAGGCAGCTAAGCTGACCTCACCTGGAGCCTCACAACTCCACTTCAACCAGCAAACCTCTGATCTGTCAAAGACATGATGGGTCTGGACTTTCTCCAGCCAGGACTGTGTGCATGAACATGGTAGCTGGAAGTTATGGTGCCTCCTATCCACCTTTCACCAGGGAGATCATCAGTCCTGGCATTTCCTGAGGCTGACACACCACCAGCATTCCCACCACGCCTTCCCGACCTTGGTAGAGTGTAGTTTTAGTGTTCATGCCCAGGACCTAGGACCTCCTCCTCCCCCATAGACCCAGCCCATACCTCCAGGTTCATGGAGGTACGGAAGCTCAGCAGGGACACGTTCTTCCCCTACTGGCTGGTGATGCAGTTCGTGGCCTCTCCAGCTCAGACAATGGGGCATTAACTAGCTGTTTAAAAAGGAAAAAAAGGAAATAGGTGTGGACAGAGTGAGGAGGGTGGTATTCAGTTCATCTGCACCTGGAGCTTGAGGAACCCCAGCAGCAGAAGGATCACATTCAGGAACACCAGCTGCTCCACCAAACCAGGATCCAAGCAGGTGCAGTGGGGTGTCACTACATCCCCAGCAATGCTGAACACCTTCTCACTCAGAACACTGGTTGGTGCCCAGGACAGGTGTTCCTGGGCAACTGTGACCACATCAGACCACATCTGGCTGTGGCTTGCCCAGTAGGCCAAGGGGTTGCACAACAGTGGCTCCACATCCTCAGCAAAAAAGGCAGCCACCAAGGCCTGAGTGCTACCTGCCTGATGGTGGGATCTGGTGCCTCTGGACCCCAGCATGAAAGCCAAGCCCATGGCCCACATTGGCAGCACCTGTGTTGGAGGAGGAGACTGGCTGGTGGATGGCATACTAGCATGGGACAGTGGATCCCTGCTCTTGCACATCCGCCCGCCTCTACCATTCTGCCTCCCTGACTCTCTTCACCAGCACCTCCATCCATTGATTCAGGCATTGGCTGATGCATACACTGCCCTTCATCCATGGGTCACACATGGCAGCCAGCACATGGACCGTACTGGACCACAAGGGTTCAAACCGTTTCTTGATGCCCCCCTTCAGCCTCTTTACCAGTGCCTGTACATCTGGTGACAGTGGCTTTTTTTTTCCCCGCACACCAACCCCCCCGCAGGACCCCACAAATTCCCCCACTATGGGGATCACCTGGCTAAGGAGTGCATCGGCAGCACTGTGGGTCTCGGTGGCCTCAAGGAAGGACCTGAGGACCACCAAGATCTGGGAGATGGTATCCCACTCAACTATGTAAGGGGGTTGCTGATCCTGATCTCCCCGAGCAAGGCCATCTCATGGATGGCCTTCTGTTGCTCCACCAGCCTCTGAAGCATCATGTATGTGGAGTTCCACCGAGTGTCCACATCCAGCATGATTTTGGGCTCCGGGATGTTCAGCTCTGCCTGTATGTCCCACAGCATATTGCTTCCCTTGGTGCTCCGGTGGAAGTGTAGCAAAACCCCCAGTTTTTCTTTTATGTAGCAATACCCCCAGCTTTTTTTTTTAATTATTATTTATTTTAAAATGCATTCCCTCTCCTTCCCCAACCATTTCTGACCTTTTCTCTCCCTCTCTATTCCCTATAATTAAGTATAAGTGAGCTCAGACTTAGCATCAGCTTTAAACATTTTTATTTTGGTAGCAAGATTTTGGTTTTGGATATCGACTGTTTTATATTGCATTATTATTAGGTTTGTATTGATTCTTACTGTTGTATATTGTATTATTATAATTTTCGTATTGATTTTTATTGTTTCAAATGGATATTATATGGTTTAGGCCTGTGTTTGTAATTGAACCAAAGTCGTGTCAAGTTTCCATTTTATATGTCAAGCCTCCATCTTCTGCCCTCTGCCTGGGCATCCCATGTTGCAACAATATGATTCATTGTACCCCTCCCATGTAAATTGGTTCCCAGATGAATGAGAATGATTGGGAATGATTGAAATACAATGGTAGCAGGCCTCTACTGAATGGCCTGTAATGACTAGGCCATCACCTCGCATTGATTCATCCAGGAACCACGGACCTCATCCAGGAACAGAGACAAGACCAGCATTTGAAAGACAAAAAACCCTGCAGAACCAGCAACTCTCACCATTACAAACACCCAAAACTGCACATCCCTGCATGGAGCACACATGCTCAGTATGACAGGGGCTGACCCTTGCCTGGGCATGCTTCCTGTCACTAGGGTCACACAAGGTCTGCCGCTATAAAAAGGGGAAGTGAAGACAGACCCAGTGGGATGCCCTCTCCATCTGGACCAGCACCATGCCATACCACCTATCCACCCAGAGGCTCTGCTGGCAACCCCCTCTGGACAACATCTACTGGAAAAGGACCGCTTCCAGCCTGAATAGGTAGATATTACCTCCTACAATTTGGACTCCCTCTCTCTCTCTTTCTCTTTCTCTCCTCCTGGACTTCAGTGGACTTCAGCCCCTGCACCAAGCCTCTCTAACCCCTGCTGCCATTGTGGGTGTGTGGGTGTGGCTGTGTGTGGGTGCAAGGGAAGCAATTTGACATTGCATCACCATCTCCCCTGTTCAAGAAAAGCACTGTCATTTGCAACCCCGAGTTGGGTCATGTTTTACTGAATCCCAGTACCTTCCTTATCTTAAATTCCAGTTTTGTTCTCTCTCTCTCTCTCTCTCAGCTCTAGCCCCCACCCCTCTCCACTAATTTCCTGATCTCCTGTCAATTCCTACTGCCTTTTCCCTGTCACTTTCTGCTGCCTTTCTCTGCTTTGCTGTTGCCCTGCCACCTGCTGCTTTTCCTGTGATTGTCTGCTGTCCATCTCTCTGTTTTCAGGCTTCCCCCGCAC